TGGGTTTGATTCCTCAGCACCACATAAGCAGAAAAAGCTGGAAGTGGTGCTGTGGCTCAAGTGGTAGAGCGCTAGCCTTGAGCTGAAGAGCTGAGGTACAGTGCCCAGGCCCAGAGTTGAGCTCCCACGACCTACAACAACAAAAAAAAACAAAGACATCATGCATAGAAAAAACAGCATGAAGCTGGGCGCCGGTGGCTTGCACAATCCTAGCTACTCAGGAGGTTGAGATCTGAGGATTGTGGTTCAAAGCCAGCCCAAGCAGGAAGGTCCATGAGACTCTTATCTCCAATAAACCACTAGAAAACTGGAAGTGTCAAAAAAGAAAAAAGAGAGCATGAGTGTTGCAAGGGTATCTATAATTGTTCTTTAAATTGAGCTCTGAACTTCTCTGAGGGCCAAAGGAAAAGGTGAAATGCAGAGAAGGAGAGGGGCTCTTCTGGAACAAACGCCTTCTGTTTGTTATATCAACTCCAAATTCTAGGAGAATCTGATCACACCCGTCTCTGTGATATGGGGTGGGCGGTGAGGGAGTCTCTCCAGCAGTACTTCATGTACCCACTTCATTCATTAATTCTCAAACCAGAGCCATGGGCAAACTCTTTAGATACCAAAAAAGGAGATGTTCTACTCACTTTGGGTGCCGAATATCAGGCAGAGAGCGATTCAGGGAGATCTTGTCACTGACGTAGATGTTAAATCCATTTTCTCGGTATGCCTGGTCCCCTCTCTCAGCATCGGTCATGGGAAAAGGTCTCCCTTGTTCTCCATTTCCTAGAGGCACAGAGCAAAGTCAGTGTTACCTGGCATGTGTAAGGGCACTGTGAATGGAGAGGGAAGGAAACATGAAAATGTGACTGTGTTTTCCACAAAAAGGAACACCTATACTTCATTACAGCATAGCTCCAGGTCTTGCTGGAGGGACTGAGAGATGGAGAAGGACACTAGCATTTATATAACTAACCATGGTCCTGTCTTGTACTTTACAGATCTTGCTGTCCTGTAATCTCCATGGAATCCCTGTACGGTAGACATGAGAGAGGTTGTATTCCACATATGAGTAGACTAAGACTCAGATTATAGAAGCAGTTGTGTGTGTCAAAGCCCAGGCCTCCTCCTCCAATCTCTCTCGAGCCCAAACAGCTGTCCCTCAAGTCTGATCACCTGGAGAGGAGGCCAGGTCCACCTCTGAGCTGACTGACCTCCAGAAAATCACTCTGGCTCTCTGAGGTACACAGTGTCACCTTTTGAAATCCAGTGTGTTTGAAAGAGTCAAATGAGAGGTTAGCACAGGTAAATGCTTTTGTGTGAATGATAAATCATTCTAAAGAAATACAAAGACTATGATGACTACTCTATATGTAAATCCAAATCGCCACAAATGCTATATAAAAATGCTTTGACTGGGCTGGGAAGGTGGCTCAGTGGTAAGAGTACTTGCCTTGCTCAAGGTCTTGGGTTCGATTCCTCAGCACCACATAAGAAAAAAGCTGGAAGTGGCGCTGTAGCTCAAGTGGTAGAGTGCTAGCCTTGAGCTGAAGAGCTGAGGGACAGCGCCCAGGCCCAGAGTTCAGGCCCCACGACCGAGCCCTCCCCCACCCCCACCCCCCTGCAAAAAATGCTTTGACTTTGTTAAAGTCAACATATGAAGAGCTGTCTATCGCCCCTAAGCCAAAATAACATGGAAAGTGTTGCTTTGAGTCAGATTTGAGTGGATGAAAAGTACTAGCAGTTGGGTGGCTGGTTGTTCATGTTTGTAATCCTAGCTATTCAGGAGGCTAAGATCTGAGGGTCATAGTCCAAAGCCAGCCTAGGCAGGGAAGACTGGGACTTTTAACTCCAATTAACCAGGAAATGGGAAGTAAAGCTGTGGCTCAAAGGGGTAGAGCATTAGCCTTGAGCAAAAGAGCTCAGGGATAACACCCAGGCCCTGAGGTTCAAGCTCTCTAACCACTACCACCACCAACAAAAAAACACTAGCTTTCCACTTTCTGCTCTATGGGGGAAAGAATCCATGATGTTTCAGAAAAAATTGTCTCTGGGTTTCCAAAAACCTTGTGGTGACTGGGATTTGTATCATGAATTCTGCAAAATTGGCCCAAGAATCCACACAGGTGGTAACACAACAGCTGCTTAAAATCATTCTGCTTTGTTGGGATGATAATCCCAACAAAAGCTTGGTGACTTTGAAGAGGGCCTTCGAATCTACAGGGACATAGTTGAGGTTGGAGAATGCACAGATGTTGAGAGAAGTGGACAGATGCTAAGGAAAAATCATGCATGCTCAGGATGCAGAAAGTTCAGTGTCATCTTGCAGATGCATTCCTTTTTCCCCTATCACTGCCCAGTTTCTGCTATTGGCATGCCACCTTTCAACAAATCTCAAGTTTTTTTTTAATTAAATATATTTTTTATTGTAAAGATACCGTACAGAAGGGCTAGAGTTACATGAGTAAGGTAATGAGTACATTTCCTATAGAGCATTGTTACCCCCTCCTTTGTTTTTCCTCTACTGTCCCTTCCTCTCCCCACCTCCCCAACTCCTCCCTCCCCCACACCAAGTAGTAAAGTTTGTTTTCAACAGTGTCTTGTACATCTCATTGCTACAATGGGTCAACCCAAATCTCAAGTTTTAACTTTCTGCTTTAAATTAAGCACACTGACTTATACTTCACTTTGGGTTACCATTTGCTTTTTTTGTGTGTGGGAGATTTTTACAGAATAAAGGGCAAGAACACAGCAGATTACACAAGGATTTAAACACAACTGACAAAAACAAAGGCTTGAGGGAGGGCTTTAAGACCTACTCTCCCTCAACCAAACCGGGTAAACACTTTCGTTTCTGATTTTTTTTTTAATTGATTTCTTTATTTTTGACCACGCTCGGTCAAAACCACTTGTAATAAATCCACAAATAAGGTCAGATGACTGTGAATGCCTCTGCTGGCTGGGAAGGTTCAAACAGACAGGCGAGCTATGGCAATGACTACTCCAGTTCAGCCTGCCATGAGAAAGACCTTACTCTCCATCACTTGTACTGCTGCCCTGAAAGACACAATGACAAGGGCCTGGGAAAGATTCCCCCAGGAGCATCAGAGCAAAAGCAGGAAGAGAAGACCTCAGTGTGTACTCAGAAGCAGGCTGCTGAAGGACGGTGTAGGGGGGATTCAGAGTTCAAGCCCTGGAGCTGGGCACATTGGAACATGTCTTCACATTTGTCAGTCTCAGGATTTTGCCCTTTGTATGTCAATTAGAATAGGAACCTTCACTGCAATGATTTAGAAGGTCATTTAATGCAAGATACCTGGCATGCACTTAGCACTCAACAAACATTATATCATCATCATCATCATTATTATTTTGAGTGAGTCAGGGTCTCACTATGTCGCCATGGTTGGCTTGGAACTCTCTATGTAGGTTAAACTTAATCAAATTCACTATCTTCCTACCTCAGCCTCCTGAGTGTGGATTATAGGCACATGCCATTCCAAGCGGTTTGTTCTTAATGTCTCCATTGCTGTTTGGCCAGTTAGCCTAGCATTCTAATAATTCTATACAACTGTCTGACAAACCAGCTCTTTGAAAAATGTCTTTTTCTTATGCATCTTGTGCCTTCTCCAATATCCACTCCTCCCACCATACTTCATTTCAAATTACTGGCTTACAGAAAAATGCATAGCATGTCTTTAGACTTCCTGATCATCATTTAAATTACTATATAGCTCCCTTAGATCCTGTAGTAAGCTGGGTTTGTCATGACACAATTTAGAGAGAAAAAAAATCAGTAGTGAGGATTCCTTTAACTGACATCAATATGAATGAAACAACAATTCTTTCAGGTTCTACAGAAGTTTCCAGTAGAGCAAAGCTTCATCTACCCACCATTTCATTTCTTTTTCTTTTCTTTTTTTTTTTGCCGGTCATGGGGCCTGAACTCTGGGTCTGGGCGCTGTCCCTCAGCTCTTCAGCTCAAGGCTAGTGCTCTACTACTGGAGCTACAGCGCCACTTCCGGCTCGAACCCAGGGCCTCATGCTTGCAAGGCATGCACTCTACTGTTGAGCTACCTTCCCAGCCTCAGTTTCATTTCTTGTACCATAACAATATCCCAAGGTTGCCCAGGAGAGAAGCATGAGCCCCACTGACAGATGGGGAAACTGAGGCTCGTGAAATATGGCCTCATCAGATGGTACATGGCTGGTAAGTAGCTTAAATGCTGATCTAACTCTATCCCGGCCTTACGCAGATGAGTCTCATACAGACTTTTTAAAGCATTTTTTTAAATTAACTTACATTAGTTATACAGAGGGAAACTGCATTATTAAATTTCCACATTTACAATATATGCCAAGCAATCTCATCCTCCCTATCACTTTCCCTTCTCTATGTAAGTTTTTGTTGCTATTTTTGTGATGGCACTGGAGCTTGAACTCAAGGTCTGGGTACTGTCCCTAAACCTTTTGGCTCAAGAATGGTGCACCTACTACTTGAGCCACAGCTCCAGTTTTAGCTTTTTGGTGGTTAGAAATAAGAGTCTCATGGATTTTCCTGCCTGTCTGGCTGTATATTGCAATCCTCAGATCTCATCCTGGTACCTCACCTGCCTATAGTTTTGTACCACCTTATCCCAGCCCTTCCACATTCTCTTGCCTAATAGGAATGGTTCTAAAAAATAATTAGTCCAGAGAGACGTCAGCTGACTCTCATTGAATTCATTAGTGTTATGTAAAGACCAATTCTACTTTCCAGACCTGGGATCGAGTCTCAGGTGGGCCTTGTCCTGACTGTGTGACTGCAGGATGATAAATGATAAATGTGCCTCTCTGAGTTACAGTCCCCCCTCCCTTATTGAAAAGCTAATCAACTCTTATTACAGGTTGAGCCAGGGGTACACACAGAACCAGAAGTGGCTCTTGTTCACCCCAGGTAGCTTTTAATATTGCTCTGTCTGTTAGTGGTAAGGATTCTACATGGTGGAGACTCCTGCCATCACTCAGTAAAGATGGCAGGACAAAGGCCTGGCCTGATGATATGCATGGGAGCAGAGTGGCAAGAGGTAATGGGGAGGGGGGACCAGGAACCAGGGAGAGAGATGGTGGCAGGCAAGAAGTTACCAAGAGGGCTAGACGCCCCTGCTAACACACACACACACACACACACACACACACACACACACACGTGTGCACAGTGCCCACACCTCCAGGGCACCTGTGGACAGTCCTGCCCTCGTACCTACGCGCTGAGCATCCCTCCTGATGGCCTCCTTGTCATGCCAGTCCTTCAGCGTCTGCCCACCGCCCGGGAAAAGTGGCTTCTTTGGTCGACTGTGGAAGCCCTTAAGAGGGGAAAAAGATAAAAAGTGTGAAAAAGAAAGGGGAAATGAGGTCAGGGACACAGCCCCAGAAAGGACACTGCATGAGGGGGCTTTGGGTTTGGATGGAAGGTCTGTCACCCACCCGTCCTCCCTGTTTGACACAAGCCAGCAGGTTGTAGACTTGAGCTAGGTGGGGTAGCTGCCAGGACTGCTCATCTTGAGCATGCCTTTACCTGTCTCAGTATCAGGGTTTTCCCTCTGTACATTAACTGGAGGTCCAGAAAGAAGACAGACACTCAGCTTCTACCTTTGAGAAATCCACCAACCAGCAAGGAAGATAAGAGATGGGCTCATTATTTTCTCCCCAGGGGAGAAAGTGCTTAGTGTCCCCCAACAGAATTAAAGGATAGGCAGGTAAGCAATCTGAAATGGTTTACTTTCCACATTAAATAAGGGGAGGGGAGAGGAGAAGGGAGGGAAGAGAAGAGCGATGAAAAAGAGAGGGGAGGGGAGGAAAGGGGAAGGAAAGGAGAAAATAATGGGAGGTATAGCACATGCCTCAAATCCCAGCATGTAGAGGTATGAAGCAGAAGGATTGTGAGTCAAGGCTAGACTAAACTACACAGTGGGACCCTACCTCAAAAGTAACCAAACAAAAAGGAACAGCCACAGTTAGGTTAGTAACCTATTTAATTCAACCTAAGATAGTCTATCTAAAACATTTTCATTTCAACAGGTGATCACTATAAAAAATTAGGGAGATATTTTATATTCCTTTTTTTGGTCTGTTATCTTTTGGAACCAAGGTTTCAAAATCCACTGTGTATTTTACAGGTTTGTTTGTCTCAGGGCAGAGTCATCTCCAGGGTTCTGGAGCTGCAAGTAGCTAGTGGCTAGGTTACTAGCCTGGACAGAGGAAAAGCGACCTTTTAGGAGAAAAGGTCTATAGAAGCTGCTACAGGTGTTAGGGGTTGAGTGCACATTTAGGCACTGGACTGTGCTCAGGCAAGGAGAAATTGGAAGTAGGAAAGGCAGAAAGCCTGGGTACAGACTTGGTGATAAAAGAAAGAACAGCAGAGCTGTTTATGGCCTGAACAGAAGCAGCTCTGGGAGGAGAAGTAGCAGTTGGATCTTGCTCAGATGGCATTTATTAAATGTCTGAGGAAGCGAGCCCACCCTGGGGGGCCCATTATGAAATGTCTTCCCTAATTTAAAGGAGGCTGCATTCCTTTGTGGAGGGTCATCAGAATGAGCCTGCTGTTTTCCCATGCCAAGAATCCTGTGTAGCTGGGTCCCCAGTGTCTAATGCTATAATCCTAGCTTCTCAGGAGGCTGAGATTTGAGGATTGAGTTCAAAGTCAACCAGGGAAGGAAAGTCCATAAAAGGCTCATTTCCAATTAACTACTAAAAAGCCAGAAGTAGAGCTGTGTGCTAGCCTTGAATGAAAAAGCTAGAGGATAGTGCACAGTCCCTGAGTTCAAGACCACCCACACACAAACACATGTACAAACACACACAAATTACAGGTAAAGACTCCTCCCCTAGGCATAGAGTGTTGCCAAGATAACACCGCTAAGAGTGGCTATTACATATCTTCCATATATGGGTACCTGAGACCATCTTTCTAGATCACCTGGCCCAAATGAAAACTCACAGCCTGAAGAAGAACAGAGTCCTATTTCCTACATAAATTAACAACAAAGACCTGTATGCTAGAGATCAGTGCTGACAAGAAACCAACCCAGGTCTGTTGAAGTCTCTGCATGATCCTTGCATTAGCCGATTTTGTAAGATCCTTTTAGCAGGCCTCTGTACCCTCTCACTCCCATAGACCTCTCTGAACTGCAACAAGGTAATTCTGAAAGTTGGAGAACTAGATGTCTTGATCAGATAAAGAAAAACAAAACAGGGGCTGGGAAGGTGGCTCAGTGGTAGAGCGCATGCCTTGCATGCCAGAGGCCCTGGGTTCGATCCCTCAGCACCACATAAGCAAAAAGAAAAAAGCCGGAAGTGGCGCTGTGGCTCAAGTGGTAGAGTGCTAGCCTTGAGCTGAAGAGCTGAGGGGCAGCGCCCAGGCCCAGAGTTCAGGCCCCACGCCCGGCCCCCCCCCCAAAAAAAACAAAAAAAAAAAACAAAAGAAAAACAAAACAGGGGTCTCAACCATGTTAGCCGCAATTCCACAATTCCACCTGGAGTGCTGCTGTGGAAAGGGGGCAAGGGGAACAAGACTGGCTTACCTAAATCAGAACACCAATGTCACCGCTTCCTAAGCTGTGGATTTCCTTTGAAATTTTCCTCATCTAAATACAAAGAAACAAACAGATATCCCTGTGTGTCAAAGAAATCAACCTTTGGGGTAAGTCAGGACCTGTTCAAGCAGTATTCTGATTCCATGGTTGATGTCTTAACAGCCTAGTGGCATTTCAAAGTTTTTATTTGTTTTGATTTGGTTTTCTATTCCAGCTTGGAAAAGATAGGAGGTGATATGGTTCTATCAAGATGTTTGGTTTCTTTGGAAAAACCCAAAGAGGTATCAAGTCTGTGCATTGATCGGCCCCTTACTTGGGCTAAGAGTTTATCTTTGCACAGTCCTCAAAATTCCTTATTACCTCCCTTGGATCTCAAGCCCCATCTGTGTTACCAGCCTACGTGACTGCAACATGCTCACACAGGTGCTGTAATGGATCCTAGATGGGGAAAATTAGAAACTGCATGGTGGTAAGACGCCTTGGAAGGTCACATCAGAGATTATCTGGTTCTCCAAGGTTCTAAAGGTGAGTATGAGTGCCAACAGTAAAAGACATGGGAGAATTCAGAGATCTGCCTACGATAGAGAAGAAAATCAGAAGTAGGATTAGTGTCTGGATGAAACACCTAGAAGATGTCAGGAGGCCAGGATAGGACGCTTGATTGTTCCTCAAGATGCTCTTCGACTTTGAAACTGCAGTACCATCCCATGAGATCTCGTTGATGTAGATTATGATATAGGCTTGGGGTAGGAAGCTAGCCTTCATTCCTTTTCTTTTTTTTTTTTCCAGACAGTCTCAATGTATTGCTATGGCTGGTTTCAAACTTACTATAGAGTCAGAGCTGGCTTTGAACTTGTGATCCTCCTGCTTTAGTCTAATAGTTGGGATTACAGGTGTATATAAGGTTGAGATTCTGCATAGTGGGGGGAGGGTGTGCCAGTACTGGAGATTAACTCAGGGCTTTTTGCTCTCCCTTAGCTTTTTGCTTAAGGATAGTTTAAGCCACATCTTCATTTCTAGCTTTTCCAGTGGCTAATTGGAGACGACTCTCATGGACTTTCCTGCCCAGGCTGGCTTTGAACTGCGATCATCAGCAAGGTGCTGCTGATAGTGCTGGTTTGCAAATAACACCGAGTAGCAAGGATTTACTTTTTTTTTTTTTTTGTCAATTGTGGGGCTTAAGTTCAGGACCTGGGCACAATCCTTGAGCTCTTATGCTCAAAGCTAACACTCAGCCACTTTGAGCCACTGCTCTACTTCTGGTTATCTGGGGGTTAATTGAAGATAAAAGTCTCTCAGACTTTCCTGTTCAGGCTAGCTTTGAACTGCGATCCTAAGATCTCAGCTTCCTGAGTTGCTAGGATTACAGGCATGAGCCATGAGCCCCCAGTTTAGGATTACCTTTAAAGAACACCCCCAGTGTATACTTGTGAAAGTCTTCTGATCCTTACTGGGACTGAGGTACACAGGTGTAAGTTCTTTGAGAATTGTTCTCAAAATGCAATGTGATACTCTACTGACAGTGGAGATGTAAGAATCCAAATTCCTGCAATTTTCACAATAACCTCCACTGCTTCTGCCTGAATGATGTGTTGCCTACCTGCCTTCTTTTTACCTGCTTTCTTTCTTGCCTTTCCTACCTCTCTGCTCCCTACACCTCTTCCTGTCCTCCCTCGTGGATCAGCAGAAGTCTCAGTCCTCACATCTTCCTTCAATGTCCTGGCTTTATCAAATGTCCATTTCTAGGCCAGTATCTGGTTCTTGTTAGGCCCTAGACAGCTAGTCTGTTGGACAATAGAAGTTAGAATCTTTCCTGTAAAAGTGGCTGTTTCACACAAGCACTATCATTTTAAGGGTGGCTATCACCTTAAAAGAAAACTATTCTAATTAAGCCACATCCTATTAAAAAGAATTGTTTTTCTAAAAGATGCTGGAAGCAAGGCCACAGTGGGAGAGTGCCAAAGCCACCAAATGTTTTTCTGCTAAGGTCCTGCTTTCCTCAGGTGTGCTCATTTTGGTTGACTGCATGGGTAAACTTTTAGCCATTCACACAAATACATTGTGACTCTAAGTTCTGACTCATTAGCATAAAGGGCAACAACAGTATAAGGGATAAAGTCTAGGTGGAGCGCCTGTCCAGTGCACTTGCTTAATTGGTTTCCTGTAAGTAGCACCCTTTTCTAGAGAGGTAAATTTTGCCTTCCTTGCCTAGTTCCTTTCAAGTTGCTGTTCATACACAAAAGACATTTCCAACGGATGGATGGATGGATGATGGATGGATGGATGGACAGATAATTGAGGCAGGTATCCTAGTTTAACAACTCAGAGCATTCTGGTTCTAGACTTGGAAAAACTGAGGTTTCATTCTCTAGTTAGGTAGAATGTAGTTTCTTTGATACATAAATAAAACTAATAGTTAAGCCGGGCCCTGGTGTCTCACACCTGTAATCCTAGCTACTCAGGAGGCTAAGATCTGAGGATTGAGGTTCAAAGCTAGCCTGGGCAGGAAAGTCCATGAAACTCTTATCTCCAATTAACCACAAGAAAAATGGAAATGGCACCGTGCCTCAAGTGGTAGAGCACTAGCCTTGAGCTGAAGAGCTGTGGGACAGCGCCCAGGCCCAGAGTTCAAGCCCCACCACCGGGGGGTGGGGGGAACCCTAATAGTTAACCATATGGAATTCCAGGAAGTCAATTAAAAATGAGGTAATGTACACAAAGCACTTAGGTCAGGGTCAATGAAAGCTAAATCCTCTGAGGAAGGGAGAGCT